AGGCGGGCAGGGTGATAAAAATTTTCAGACCATGGATGACTGAAGCCAAATCTATGGATATAGAGGGCTGACCATATTATATAATACTCCAGCCTTGTCAATCCACTTTAGCACACCATGAAAATACAAACATGTAAAATAACAATAGTCAAATATGAATTATCCACAGCAGTCACCCTTAACTTTTAACTATTATTAATTACATTTTAAAACCATTACACACAAAGAAAAAAGACATTTTTTCACAGAGACACCATTTCTGCTCACTTTCTGTCCAACAAGATGAATACTGAAAAGTCATGTCTGCAGTCCAATCCAAGTCACTCAATTCATAAATCGGACAACTGATAAACAAACAGATAAACAAACAACACTAAGATATATGGAATTGGTGATAACAAGCTGTACAAAGGCAGTATTTTGCCCTTCATGTATAAACACCATCCATAAATCCCTTATAGATTCAAGTTTTAACAGCAGTAGATTTTGCCTGATAGGCTTTTAAATTCAAAAACTCATGCATTCTCCCCAGCAGATGCTGGCCCAATTAAATTCATCTTAACCTACTTTATTACCTGCACATCATGCACAACTACAGCATTCCTTAAAGTGCCCCCCCCCCCCAAATATAAATTATGCTCTATCTGATAATATACTAATGAACTGAATTTCTTAGCATATTCTCACTGGAGGAATGCTCATTCATTTCATGTAAAGACTGCAATTCAAGATAAGCCCCAGTTAAAAGAGTGAGACTTCCTTCCAAATAATATTTTTTCTTCATTTGTAACTGCTATAAGAAGTAAGACTACATACTAGGTTGGGCCCCTGAATGTTGTAGGGAAAATCAATGTGATTTAGTGGTTTGATCAATGGACTACAATGCTGGAGTCCAGGATACAAACACCTGCTCAGTCATGGAAACCCACTGGGAGACTTGGACAAGTCAGACTCTTTCAGCCCCCTATGAATAAATTCTTCCAAGAAAACTCAGTGAAAGGGTTGCTAGAAGTTGGGAACAACATGACACACAACAACAATGATCGGCAACAATCAGCACTACCATCCAATTAGTAGTATTCAAACAATTTATGGGGACCCAGGTTTGGGAATCTGGAGTTGTAAACACAGCTCAGATGCTCATTCAATGGCTGTTGTACTGGGCTGATTAGCAATGGCAGCAGAGACAGGTTTCAGTGTAAAACAATTTCAGTTAACTATATATTCATATGGTTATCTTGGTTCTTGGGTTCTTTGTATACATAGTGGTGACTCTGGGGGAATTTGCACACTACATCGTGAGGTACTATGGTTCCACTTTAATTGCCAAGACAACATTCTAAGGAATTGTGGAAGTTGGCATCCCAAACACCTGGAGGTCCGAAGTTTGTCCACGCCTGCACTACGGCAATGATTCCCAAACTTGGAAGTTGCAGGAATTTTGGACTTCAACTCAAAGAAGTCTCGGCCAGCATGACCAACAGGAATTCTGTGAGATATAGCCCAAAACATAGGGACAAAAATGATGTTGCTGTGATAGTTAAAGTGGAACACTGTGCTATAACTGCATTTAACAATCTCCCATTTCTTTTGTGCTACTCTATACTTTCAGTTGTGTTTCCGCTCCCCCCCCCCCCCCCCCCCCCCGGCTGTACAATATGGAAGAAAACATAACCTCAGCAGACCTAAGTGAGAATGAGTAGGCTCCAGTTAAAGAGCCTAGAGACTTCTGCCCAGTTCCTTCTGCCACCATTGTCAATTTCACCAACTGTTTGCAGTGATGCAACACACTGTTGGCCTCCTTCTTCACAAGCAGTTTTGTGACAAGCAGGTGGGGAAACAAGCCAACTGAAGCTAACTTAGTGAATGATATGCAACTGGTCACCTCTACTGGAGAACACAGTATAAGCTAAGAGTATGTGCCCAAATGTTGTTTCTGTCCTCCATGTCCCCCATGTTCTGGGCTTGTATGTTTTCTTTAGGTGAACTGGAAGATCACCAAATCCAAGGTCAGAGAGCGGCAACATAAATTTTGCCTCAAGAGTCAAAATATCTTTAACAGTGAGGCAAAGGGAGAGAATGCTAACTAATTTCAGGACATTTCTATGCCTCGTGGTTGTGCCACAGCGGGTGGCACAACCACTGCCACCCGCTATGGGTTTTAAATATCAACAGTTGATAACACTAAGTAACAGAATTTGAAAAATCTTCTGTTCCTGGTTTGAAAGTGTCATTCCTGTTTAATTGTGAGGTCCTGACTTAAAAAGTAGTTGTTATACTCCAGAAACTTTGTTTTTGTGGTTGCCACAGGCTATGTTGAATTGGTTGAGACTCTATAGGAGATATTCACTGAAAAACTATATTATTTATTAGTGTGTTTGTTTGTTTACCACGCTTGTATCCTGCCCTTCTCACTCCAAAGCGGACTCAGGACAGCCTTACAAAGGCAACAATTCGATGCCACATATACATATCGATACATAAACAAAACCATTAAAATCCAAAACAATTTAAATTTTTTTTAAATTGTTTAAATTAATTTAAAAACAGGCACATAAAATCACTCTCAACAAAAGATTCCCCCCAGGCACTTCCAAGCCATTGAATGCTAATCAAGGTGATCAGCTGAAACATTCAAAGCTAGCCCCAGCAGACAAAAGTCCTTTGTCTCACCCTGGTCATTCCACAGATATATAAACACATTTTTCCTACTTCCAACAGACCTCACTACCTCTGAGGATTCTTGCCACAGATGCAGGCGAAACGTCAGGAGAAAAATTGCCTCCAGAACATGGCCATATAGCCCAGAAAAACCTACAACAACCCAATTTAAAAATCAAACAATAAAACATCAATTAAAATCACACAATCCAAGTCATACTCAAGGGCCAATCCAAGATGTCATTATGTTTTTTGTAATCAGTATTGTCCATCATTTACTCTACCTACTAAGACTGTTGGGAGTTTTATGGACTACAATGTCCAGAATCCCCAGTCTGCAGGACCAGTAGCTATTCTGGGATTCAGGTACTATACTCCAAAAAACCCAAACTTCCAAGCTCTGTGTACATGAATTTACCCAATTTTCTCATCAAATGAGTGGGCTCAAGGTCACAATTCTCTGCAATGTTTTCAGATGGTTCCCACCTAGAAGATTATGTGGTTACAATTACTAGGAAGAAAAAGTTAGAAGTTAATTGTCAAATAAGTTAATAATTGTAATGAAAATATCCAGCTGAGCATCAATGCTCTTTTACATTATAATATCTGTTCCATGTGGAGAACGGGAAAACTTGATTAGCATAGCAATAATGAGCTTCTTAGCAAAACAATAGGACATTTGTATTTCAAAAGCTTGCAGGCTTAAGAAAAATTCTGCATCACCAACTCTCTGAAGAACATTTTTGCATATGTTTTACTTCCCCAAAAAAATGTAATGCTAAGTATCTGGGACAGTAAAACTGCTGAAATAACAGCAACATTAGTATTATTAAAATCAAGATGAGAAAAAAAAACCCCAAGAGGTACATTGAAGCCTAAAAGGAGATATAAACAGTTCTTTCATTTGTAATTTACCAGCTTTTCTATTTCTGTATCATCTTCAGCAACACCCATTAAGTTACCTTATGACTAAGAGATATGTATTTCAGAGTTTATATATGGATAAATCTAGGTTTACATACACAGGACACCAAAGCCAACCCTGTTTAGCAAGCACACCAACATTATGGGTAAAAAATAGTACTTTGGAAAATATCATGGATAGACACAATGTAAAAAGCAAACCCTAATTACCTGTGTTTTATGAAAGACTCTAGAAAACAGCTGTGTAAAGAACATAAACTAAATAGGTCCATGATAACACTGGCGAACATGCATTTTGGTGTCTCAAATGTTAGCGCTGTGTCTGGGTTTATTTGACCTGCTGACTTCATAAATGGCACCAGTTTCCCCCATCAGGTTTTGAAATATAGGACATTTGCCATCTACCAGTTGCCATCTGCCCACCCTTAGAAAGCCATGATAATCACATCTATGGGCCCTTCCACACAGCCCTATATCCTAGAATATCAAGGCAGAAAGTCCAACAATAACTTCTTTTAACCGAGGGCCCTTCCACACAGCCCTATATCCCAGAATATCAAGGCAGGAAATCCCACATTATCAGAGTGTGGACTCAGATAACCCAGCTCAAAGCAGATATTCTGGGATATAGGGCTGTTTGAAAGGGCCCTGGGTTATCTACATCCCACCTAGTAATCTAAGACCATCCAGGGAGGCCCTGCTCTCACTCCCGTCAACAGCACAGATGCTCCTGGTGGGGACAAGAGAAAGGGCCTTCTTGGCTGTGGCCCCCCGCCTATGGAACACACTCCCAAACGAGGTAAGATCTGCTCCCTCCCTCCTGGCTTTTAGAAAAAAATTAAAATCATGGTTTTGGGACCAGGCCTTTGGGCAGTAGAAGTAAATGTATGCAGCATTTTGGAAGGACAATGACTGGAACGGCAATTCAACGGACGAGACTGTTTTATTGTTTTAATTATTGTTTTATTGCTCATGAATGTATTTTTAAATTTAATTTATGTCTAATTATGGTATATAATTGTAATTGTTTGTACTGGCATTGAATTTTTGCCATTACTTATGTGTACACTGCTTTGAGTCCCCCTCGGGGTGAGAAAAGCGGTATACAAATACTGCAAATAAATAAATAAATAAATAAATAAATAAATAAATATCTGAGTCCACACTGCCATATATTCCAGTTCAGAGCAGATAATGTGGGATTTTATTCAGCTGTGTGGAAGGGGCCTAAGAATCTAAAGCAGATTTGTAGAGCAGATGCAATTTTCTGAATCAGCACCTGAAATAACTCCAGGAACAGGCACCAAGAACCTTTTTATTGGGCTGTGTAAGTTTTAAAAAGCAAAAGTCTTATCTGGCAACTTTTCCATGAAAAAGGATTAACTAACATAAAACCAACAAATATTTGTAGTTACCTTATTGCAATACAGCATCCAAAGTTCATACAACCTCTCTCTGGAAGCCATCCTTCACTCCTTCCTTCTTGGTCGTGAAGTACCATACATTCAAGATCCTACCATGTTCACTTTCAGAGCATCAAAATATTGGCTTTGGTTTCTGGATTCAATCCAGAGGAAAGTGAATGAGTTCCTCTAATACTAGTGCATAAATCAAAGGGTTCAAGGTAATTGCTTCACTCTCCTTTCCATCAATGAGGCTTCAGATTTAATCTTCAAAAGTACAAATGAGCCCCTTGGAGGCTGCTGGAGATATGAGGATGCAGGAAAGCCAGAATTATTGCAAAAGCCCAGGATTTGTTGTTTGATGGATGAAATCTCAATAAAGCGGCATTTGACTCCAAGTGTCCATCATCCTCTCAATGTCAAACAGAACAGTAAGCAGCAGCAAATAGTGGTGGCGGGAAATGTTCTTTTTCAGTGTTTCATAAGATCAGCCAATATGCACAGATCACCTGTAGAAAGAACAACTGACAATGTTTTTAAAGCACATGAAGGTATGGACTCTAGTTCTGCTGTTTAAAATCTTACTGAATTTCAACCTAGCAGATAGAGTGTCTATTAATTGGTTCTATTTTTCTAACCACCTGCAAAACAGGTAGCATAAAAGTAATCATTCATTACAAGCTTTTTCCAAAATCCGCCAATTTCAGACAAACTGATACGGTACCTATTGATCTACTCACATTTGCATGTTTTCAAACGGCTATCTTGGCAGAAGCTGGGGCTAATAGCGGGAGATCACTCCACTCCCCAGATTCGAACTGTCAACCTTTCAATCAGCACATTCAGCAGCTCAGTGCTTTCATCCACTGCACTATCAGGGAGCTTGTTTAGACCAAGTTAATGGCCTTTGAGGCTTCCTCCAAGTGAATAGTACTAAACGACAAAATTGGGGGGGGGGGGGGGACTGTTCCTGGTTTGAAATTATCATGACCTGTTTAATTGTGCAGCCCTTACTTTGAAAGTAGTTGTTCTACTACAGAAGCTTTGTTTTTGTGGATGTCACAAACAATGTTTAATTATATTGTCGAAGGCTTTCATGGCTGGAATCACTGAGTTGCTGTGAGTTTTCTGGGCTGTATGGTCATGTTCCAGAAGTATTCTCTCCTGATGCTTTGCCTGTATCTATGGTAGGGATCCTCAGAGGTTGTGAGGTCTGCTGGAAAGCCTCACTTGCCTAGCTTCCAACAGATTTCACACCCTCTGGGGTTGCCTGCCACAGATGCAGGCGAAACATCAGGAGAGAATACTTGGACAGGGCTGTGGCACAGCTAGTTAGCAGCCAACTGCATTAAATCACTACTGACCGAGAGGTCATGTGTTCGAAGCCAGCCCGGGTCGGAGTGAGCTCCCGACCATTAATCATCTAGCTTGCTGTTGACCTATGCAACCTGAAAGACAGTTGCATCTGTCAAGTAGGAAATTTACGTACAGCTTTATGCAGGGAAGCTAATTTAACTAATTTATGATGCCATAAAACCTTCCAGCAGCGTGCAGAAGAATGAGGAAGTACTCCATCAAAGGACTCTGTGTCACAAGTGGACGGTGAAGCGGCAGAATTGAGCATGTCTGTCTATATATGTTGTATTTCTAAATGTCATTGAATGTTTGCCATGTATATGTGCATTGTAATCCGCCCTGAGTCCCCTGCGGGGTGAGAAGGGCGGAATATAAATACTGTAAATAAATTAATAAATACAACAACCCAATGTTGAGTTCTCTGAGAATGGATGAGATACTCATTGCAAAAATATAGCAAAATGTGTTGCAGAGTGTCCCGCCAAAACAAAGTTTTGTGCAGTGTAAGACACTTTCTCCATGTCGACTGTGGAACGCCCTACCTAGAGATATTAGATCAGCTCCCTCCCTCCTGACTTTTCAAAAGAAGGTGAAAACCTGGCTTTTTGAACAGGCCTTCCCAAATACGCATAGCTAAACGGAATTATGGAACGACTCAACAACGCAGTGGAATAATGATTTGACATGGAGACGCTCATGACAATGTTTTATATTTTTTTATACTGTACATATTGTTTTTAATAGAATTTCTTGATAGTTTTTACTGTTTACTTGTTATGGCATCGAATTGTTGCCAATTTGTGAACTGCTCCGAGTCGCCTCTGGGCTGAGAGGGGCAGGTATATAAATATAGTAAATAAATAATAAATAAATAAAATAATTATGCTGGAACCAATTAGGAAATGGCATTCATAACCCAGGAACAAAAAATCATATTACATGCCGGGGTTTTAGAGATGCTTAGGTAGGGCCAGGGTGCCCCTGGTGGCACAGTGGGTTAAATGCTAAGCCGCTGAACTTGTTGACCAAAAGGTTGGCGGTTCGAATCCAGGGAGCGGAGTGAGCTCCTGCTGTCAGCCCCAGATTCTGCCAACCTAGCAGTTCGAAAACATGCAAATGTGAGTAGCATCATAGAATCATAGAGTTGGATGAGACCTCATGGGCCATCCAGTCCAACCCCCTGCCAAGAAGCAGGAAAATTGCATTCAAAGCAGCCCCAACAGATGGCTATCCAGCCTCGGTTTAAAAGCTTCCAAAGAAGGAGCCTCCACCACACTCTATACATAAAGACAGTGAAAAATATATAGAATCATAGAGTTGGAAGAGAGCACATGGGCCTTCTAGACCAACCCCCTGCCATGCAGGAAAAGCACAATCAAAGCACCCCTGACAGATGGCTACCCAGCCTCTGTTTAAAAGCCTCAGTTGAAGGAGCATCTACCACACTCCGGGGCAGAGAGTTCCACTGCTGAACGGCTCTCACAGTCAGGAAGTTCTTCCTCATGTTCAGATGGAATCTCCTCTCTTGTAGTTTGAAGCCATTGTTCCATGTCCTAGTCTCCAGGGAAGCAGTAAACAAGCTTGCTCCCTATGACTTCCCTGCACATACATTGCCATCATCATGTCTCCTCTCAGCCTTCTCTTCTTCAGGCTAAACATGCCCAGCTCTTTAAGCCGCTCCTCATAGGGCTTGTTCTCCAGATCCTTAATCATTTTAGTCACCCTCCTCTGACTGGACACTTTCCAGCTTGTCAATATCTGTCTTTAATTGTGGTGTCCAGAATTGGACACAATATTCCAGGTGTGGTCTGACCAAGGCAGAATAGAGCATGGGTAGCATGACTTCCCTGGATCTAGACCCTAAAATCCTATTTATGCAGGCCAACATCCCATTGGCTTTTTTTTGCCACCGCATCACATTGTGGCTCATGTTTAACTTGTTGTCCACAAGGACCCCAAGAGTAGATCAATAGGTACCGGACTACAGAACCGTAGCCCAGAAATGGACGGAAAAAAGACCTTCCTTCAATCGAAGAGTGGACGACAAAGATGATTGAATATATGAACATGGACACTTTAACGCAATTACTTAAAGATCATAACAGGGAGAATCAAATCAAGTGGCAACCAATAAGAATTTACCTGCTGGAGAAAATGAAACTTAATATTTGAAAAATTGGGGGGGGGGGGACGGAACAAAAAGAGATACCAGAGACAACGAAACAGTGAAATCTCACAAAAATTTCAGTTAAGAAAGACCACCTCTCTGTGGAATAGATTGGAAGCATCCCAATCCCCACCCCGTTACCTACCCTATCCCACTCCCTACTTACCCTATCCCATCCTACCCTATACCCAACCCACACTGTCAACCTCACCTCCTATCTTATTTCCTACTTTCCTTCAGATTGGTTTTGTTCCCCCTCTTTTATTGTTACTTTAGGAGCCCCCGGTGGCACAGTGGGTTAAACCCCTGTGCCGGCAGGACTGAAGACCGACAGGTCGCAGGTTTGAATCCGGGGAGAGGCAGATGAGCCTCCTCTATTAGCTCCAGCTCCTCATGCGGGGACATGAGAGAAGCCTCCCACAAGGATGACAAAAACATCAAATCATCCGGGTGTCCTTGCAGACGGCCAATTCTCTCACACCAGAAGCGACTTTCAGTTTCTCAGGTTGCTCCTGACACAACCAAAAAAAAAAATTGTTACTTTGAAAAGGATGCAAATAAAAATGATTAAGAGGAATAGGTACCACTCCAGCGCGAAGGTAGCAACGCTCCATGCCGTCATGCCAGCCACATGACCTTGGAGGTGTCTATGGACAACGCCAGCTCTTCGGCTTAGAAATGGAGATGAGCACCAACCCCCAGAATCGGACTTAATGTCAGGGGAATACCTTGACTTTACTTTAGGTGGGGGCAAATAAAGGCTTGGAACCATTACTGGAGTCCCTTGCCTTTCCTTGACCCTGACAATTAAGTTTTCCTTCCTTTTTCCCCTCAGCATTGCCTCCCCTGGCTTCCATCCCCACTGGCTGCCATTTGCCTCCTCCCCCAGAGCCTGGCTGTATCCTGAGGGCTGAGATTAAATAGCCCAGCTTCCTTGATGTTGTGGTCCCCTCCCAGCCTCCTCCTCCTCTATTCCTCCTTCGCTTCCTTCCAGGCCGAAGCCTTGCAGCCCCTTCCCAGGCACTCACTCACTCCCTGACTGACTGACTGACTGACTTACCTGGGAAGAGTCTCCTATGGGCGCGCGGTTGTGCGCGCGCGGGCAGCTCCCACGGCCCAGCGCCGCAGACAGACCGAGCAGCTGAGGCGGCGATTGGCAAATAGGAAGCCACATCGCCCGCTTCGAGCCCCGCCCACATTCCAGCGCTGCCTCTCTCTCTCTCGCCCCGCCCACTCTCCCTGCCTCTTCCCCAGTCGCGCAGAGATGACGCCAAGTCCTGGCACAAATCTGGCAGACATAGATTCCCAACTCTAAGGGGTTTTTTTGGACTTCAACTCCCAGAAGCCTCAGCTGCTATGGCCAATGATCAGGGATCCTGGGAGCTGAAGTCCGGAACTCCTAGAAGAGCCGGCGCCGAATTAGAATGGAGCTACTCTGCCATACAATCTAGTTCAGGCATGGGCAAAGTTGGGCCCTCCAGGTGTTTTGGACTTCAACTCCCACAATTCTAGGAATTGTGGGAGTTGAAGTCCAAAACACCTGGAGGGCCCAACTTTGCCCATGCCCGAACTAGTTGGAGGATGCAACTAAAATGATCAAGGGTCTGGAGAACAAACCCTATGAGGAGCGGCTTAAAGAGCTGGGCATGTTTAGCCTGCAGAAGAGAAGGCTGAGAGGAGACATGATAGCCATATGTGAGAGCCAACAATATCATGTAGCGGCAAAAAAAAGCCAATGGGATTTTGGCCTGCATCAATAGGAGTCTAGTGCAGGGGTTCTCAGACTTTTAAAGCAGAGGGCCAGGTCACAGTCCCTCAAATGTTGTAGGGCCAGATTATAATTTGAAAAAACATGAATGAATTCCTATGCACACTGCACATATCTTATTTGTAGTGCAAAAACCACTTAAAAACAATACTATAATTAAAATGAAGAACAATTTTAACAAATATCAATTTATTAGTATTTCAGTGGGAAGTGTGGGCCTACTTTTGGCTGATGAGATAGGATTGTTGTTGTGTGCTTTCAAGTTGTTTCAGACTTAGGTTGACCCTGAGCAAGGGCCGAGTAAATGACCTTGGAGGGCCGCATCCGGCCCCCAGGCCTTAGTTTGAGGAACCCTGGTCTAGTGTCTACATCCAGGGAAGTCATGCTCCCCCCTCTATTCTGCCTTGGTTAGACCACACCTGCAAATAGTGTGTCCAATTCTGGGCACCACAATTGAAGGGAGATATTGACAAGCTGGAATGTGTCCAGAGGAGGGCGACTAAAATGATCAAGGGTTTGGAGAACAAGCCCTATGAGGAGCGGCTTAAAGAGCTGGGCATGTTTAGCCTGCAGAAGAGAAGGTTGAGAGGAGACATGATAGCCATATGAGAGAGCCAACAATGTCATGTAGCGGCAAAAAAGCCAATGGGATTTTGGCCTGCATCAGTAGGAGTCTAGTGTCTAGATCCAGGGAAGTCATGCTCCCCCTCTACTCTGCCTTGGTTAGACCACACCTGGAATATTGTGTCCAATTCTGGGCACCACAATTCAAGAGAGATATTGACAAGCTGGAATGTGTCCAGAGGAGGGCGACTAAAATGATCAAGAGTCTGGAGAACAACCCCTATGAGGAGTGGCTTTAAGAGCTGGGCATGTTTAGCCTGCAGAAGAGAAGACTGAGAGGAGACATGATGAGAGCCATGTATAAATAGGTGAGGGGAAGTCATAGAGAGGAGGGAGCAAGCTTGTTTTCTGCTGCCCTGGGGACTAAGACGCAGAGCAATGGCTTCAAACTACAAGAAAGGACATTAGGAAGCACTTCCTGACTGTGAGAGCTATTCAGCAGTGGAACCCTCTGCACCGGAGTGTGGTGGAGGCTCCTTCTTTGGAGGCTTTTAAGCAGAGGCTGGATGGCCATCTCTCAGGGGTGCTTTGAAGGCAATTTTCCTGCTTCTTGGCAGAATGGGGTTGGACTGGATGGCCCATGAGGTCTCTTCTATGATTCTGTGACTGCATTCTATGGCAGTGTAAACCGAGACCGCTTGTACACTGCCATATAACCCAGATTATCAAATCAGGTATTCCACATTATCTGCTTTGAAGTGGATTATCTTGGCCTATAAAGCCCGATACAGTTCCAGCCCAGCCTACTTGACCGAACATATCTACCTTCTGCCTCGCAGTTTAAGATCATCCAGGGAGGCCCTGCTCTCGGTCCCGCCAGCTTCGCAAATGCATCGGGTGGGGACAAGTGGCAGGGCAATCTTGGTGATCTCCCCCCGCCCCCGCCACCTGTAGAACTCGCTTCCCACCAAGATAAGATCAGCCTCATCCCTCCTGTCTTTCAGGAAGAAATGGAAATCATGGTTCTGGGACCAGGCTTTTGGACAGCAGGCATAACAGCACTTTGGATGTGGAAGTGTACTGGAATGGTTATATGGCAGATAATAATGTTTTAATTGTTTTTAATTAATGTTCTAGCTATTGTTTTAAACTGTTCTATCTATTCCATGTTGCGGCATCAAATTGTTGCCTAGTGTAAGCCATCCCGAGTCCCCCTCCCGGGGTTGAGAAAGACAGGGTAGAAATGCTGGAAATAAATAAATAAATGAGTCTACACCAGGTAGGGGCAAAATTTGGCCCTCCAGATGTTTTGGATCTCAACTCCCACAATTCATAACAGTTAGGAATTGTAGGAGTTGAAGTCCAAAACACCTGGAGAGCCTACATTTGCCCATGCCTGGTCTACACTGATATAATCCAGATTATCAAATCAGATATTCCAATTATCTGCTTCGAACTAGGACCCCTTCCCCACAGCTATCTAAAATCCACATTGAACTGGATTATATTGTTGTGTGGACTCAGATATAGAATCATAGAATCATAGAATCAAAGAGTTGGAAGAGACCTCATGGGCCATCCAGTCCAACCCCATTCTGCCAAGAAGCAGGAATATTGCATTCAAATCACCCCTGACAAATGGCCATCCAGCCTCTGCTTAAAAGCTTCCAAAGAAGGAGCCTCCACCACACTCCGGGGCAGAGAGTTCCACTGCTGAACGGCTCTCACAGTCAGGAAGTTCTTCTCATGTTCAGATGGAATCTCCTCTCTTGTAGTTTGAAGCCATTGTTTCGCGTCCTAGTCTCCAGGAAGCAGAAAACAAGCTTGCTCCCTCCTCCCTGTGGCTTCCTCTAACATATTTATACATGGCTATCATATCTCCTCTCAGCCTTCTCTTCTTCAGGCTAAACATGCCCAGCTCCTTAAGCCGCTCCTCATAGGGCTTGTTCTCCAGACCCTTGATCATTTTAGTCCCTCCTCTGGACACATTCCAGCTTGTCAATATCTCTCTTGAATTGTGGTTCCCAGAATTGGACACAATATTCCAGGTGTGGTCTAACCAAAGCAGAATAGAGGGGTAGCATTACTTCCCTAGATCTAGACACTATGCTCCTAATGATGCAGGCCAAAATCCCATTGGCTTTTTTTGCCGCCACATCACATTGTTGGCTCATGTTTAACTTGTTGTCCACGAGGACTCCAAGATCTTTTTCACACGTACTGCTCTCGAGCCAGGCGTCACCATTCTGTATCTTTGCATTTCATTTTTTCTGCCAAAGTGGAGTATCTTGCATTTGTCACTGTTGAACTTCATTTTGTTAGTTTTGGCCCATCTCTCTAATCTGTCAAGATCATTTTGAATTCTGCTCCTGTCCTCTGGACTATTGGCTATCCCTCCCAATTTGGTGTCGTCTGCAAACTTGATGATCATGCCTTCTAGCCCTTCATCTAAGTCATTAATAAAGATGTTGAACAGGACCGGGCCCAGGACGGAACCCTGCGGCACTCCACTTGTCACTTCTTTCCAGATGAAGAGGAAGCATTAGTGAGCACTCTCTGTGTTCGTCCACTTAACCAATTACAGATCCACCTCACCGTAGTTTTGCCTAGCCCACATTGGACTAGATATCCCAGTTCAAAGCAGATAGTGTGGATTGTCTGCCTTGATATTCTAGGTTATATGGCTGTGTGGAAGCACCCTTGATTATACAATATGAGTCCACACTGCCATATAATCCAGTACAAATCAGATAATCTGGATTTTGTATGGCAGTGTAGATGGGGCCTCACATAATCTGATTCAATGCAATTAATCTGCATTCTGAAACTGGATTATATGGTAGTGTGGGTGGGAATTTAGAGAGCACATTTTGCCTCCAGTTTTTTAGGTGAGGACGACTAGTTCTACACTGCCATATAATGCAATTTGAGCTGTATTGAATGGCATTATGGGGCTAGATTTACACTGTGCTATATCCCAGGATCTGATCCCAGATTATCTGCTTATCCTAGATTATCTGGCAGTGTAGACTCACATAATCTGGGGTCAAGTTCTGGGATATTGAGTAGTGTAGATCTAGCCTTAGCTTCTTCTCTATTCCCCAGATAAGAAAGTATCTTGAAGCACATTAAATAATAATGTATTTTTATTTGGCACAGTAGCCCCACCTAAAATAAAAGTGTGAATGCTGCAATTGATCACCTTGATTAGCATTTCAACTGCAGCATTCACACCTAGCACCAACAGACAAGAGTTCTTTCTCCCACCCTGGACATTCCACAAATATATAAACCCCATTTTCCTAGTTTCCAACAGACCTCACAACCTCTGAGGATTCCTGCCATAGATGCAGGTGAAACATCAGGAGAGAATGCTTCTGGAACATGGCCGTACAGCCTGGAAAATTCACCACAACCCACTTTTATTGCAGTTCTGTGAGAATACCAAGCAAAAGACATTGTGATTTGTAAAAGTAAGCTTTTCAAGTTTTTTGCTAATAGCTGGTGATACATTCTTTTGAATCGTGTGGCCTTGCAGAATTTGACCTACCAGTATTTCAGGTGAAATTCCTTTGGACAAATTATGCTTCCAGCACTTTCTTCAACTGTGAGTTTCATGATGTATAATGATGTTCCTTATACAACATGGCAAAATCAAATATTGCTTTTGGAAATATTTTTAAAAATATTTTTTCAGGGTAATCATCACAGGCTATCACTTGTGGTCGAGTCTGCTTGTCCAAGTGGAGGGTCTTGGTGGTGGGTCTGTAGGTGACTCTAGATCCCTATTCTTGATCGGCATGTTCTTTCAGCGTGAGGACATCAATCTGCAGGTGGAAGGCAATCCCG